GGCTGTGGTGTGCCCCTCAAAACCCTGCTTGTTAGGTTATTTAGTGAGGCGGGCTGCTGGGTGTGCCCAAACCGATGTTCGAGTTGGTTGTGAGGAGCGTGCTGGTGTGCTCCCCTCAAAACCTGAGTTATGAGGCGGGCCTGCTGGTGTGCTGCCCACAACCCTGCATGTTCGAGTTAGTGGGGCGCGGTGCTGGTGTGCTCCCTCAAAACCCTGGTTAGTGAGGCGCGGTGCGGTGTGCTGCCCCAAACCTGGAAAGTGGGGGCGCTGCTGGTGTGTGCCTCCAACCTGAGTTAGTGAGGCCGGTGCTGGGGGTTCCTAAAAACTGCTGTTAGAGTTGTTAGGAGGCACAGTGTGGTGTTGCCTCAAACCTGAGTTAGTGAGGCGCGGCTCTGGGTTTGTTGCTGCCTCAAAACCTGCTGTTCGGTTAGTGAGGCGCGGTGTGGTGTGCTGCCTAAAATAGTTAGTGAGGCAGCGGCTTGCTGGGTGCTGCCCCCAAAACCTGAGTAAGGAGGCAGCGGGTGGTGGCTCCCTCACAACCTGCTGTTCAGAGTTAGTTGGAGGCAGCGGCTGCTGGTTGTGCTCCCTCACAACCTGATGTTAGAGTTAGTTATGGGGCAGCGGTCTGGGGTGCTGCCTCAAACCTGCATGTTCGGTTAGTTATGGGGCAGCGGCTCTGGGTGCTGCCTCACACCTGATTTAGTAGGAGCGGCTGTGGTGTGCTGCCTCACAACCTGGTTAGTGAGGCAGCGGGTGCTGGTGTGTTGCCTCACCCCTAGTAAGTGAGGAGGGGCCCTGTGGTGTGCTGCCTCACAACCTGTATGTTCAGGTTAGTTGGGGGCACGGCTGTGGTGTGCTGCTCAAAACCCTGCTGTTCAGAGTTAGTTAGCCAGTCAGCGGCTGTGGTGTGTGCCTCACAACCTGATTAGTGAGGCGCGGCTGCTGGTTTGTCTGCCTCAAAACCCCTGAGTTAGTGTGCAGGGTGCTGGTGTGCTGCCTACAACTGCTGTTCAGAGTTAGTGAGGCAGCGGGTCCCCGGGGTGTCTGCCTCAAACCTGAGTTAGTGAGCAGGGGGGCTGGTGTGCTGCCCCCAAAACCCCTTGATTATGAGGCAGCGGGGCTGGTGTGCTGCCCCCAAACCCTGATTAGTGAGGCAGCGGTGCTGGTGGTTTTGCCTCACAACCGATGTTCGAGTTGGGGGAAGGCGCAGCGTGGTGTGCTGCCTCCAACCTGAGTTAGTGAGGCAGCGGCTGTGGTGTGCTGGCCTCAAAACCTGCATGTTCAGGTTAGTGAGGCAGGGTTTGTGGTGTGTGCCTCACAACCTGATTTAGTGGGGCAGCGGCGTGGTGTGCTGCCTCACAACCCTGATGTTCGGTTGTTAGTGGGCAGCAGTGTGGTTTGCTGCCTCACAAACCGCATTTTCGATTTTTATTTTGTGAGGAGCGGTGCTGGTGTGCTGCCTCAAACCTGAGTTAGTGAGCGCGGGTGTGGGGGGGCTGCCCCCAAAACCTGCATGTTCAGAGTTGTTAGTGAGGCAGCGGTGCGGGTGTGCTGCCTCACACCTGATTTAGTGAGGCAGCGGCTGCGGGTTTTGTGTCCTCAAAACCTGCTGTTCAGAGTTTGTTAGTAGGCAGCGGCTGGGTGTGCTGCCTCAAAATGCATGTTCAGAGTTGTTAGTGGGGCACGGTGCTGGTGTGTGCCTAAAAAACCTGGTTAGTGAGGCAGCGGGTGCTGGTTGCTGCTCAAAACCCGGGTTTAGTGGGGCAGGGCCTTGGTGTGCGTCCAACCGCGTTCAGATTTAGTTAGTTAGGCAGCGGCTGCTGGTTGCTTCCTCACAACCTGCATGTTCAAAAAGTTAGTTGGAGGCAGCGGCTGTGGTGTGTCCCTCCACCTGCATGTTCAGAGTTAGTTGTGAGGCGCGGTGCGGGGTGTCTCCCTCAAAAAACCTCATTTTCAGGTTGTGAGGCAGCGGCTGTGGTGTGTTCCCTCACAACTGCTTTTCATTTTAGTTAGTGAGGCCGGCTGCTGGGGGTGCTGCCTCACACCTGTTTTCGATTAGTTAGTGGGGGGCGGGGGCCCTGTGGTGTGCTGCCTCACAACCTGGGGTCGGTTATTTTGTCATCAGCGGTGGGGTTGCTGCCCCAACGGTTTAGTGAGGCAGCGGCCCTGTGGTTGCTGCCTCACCCCTGGTTTTTTGAGGCAGCGGCTGTGGTGTGCTGCCTCACAACCGAGTTAGTGAGGCAGCGGCTGTGGTGTGCTCCCTAAAAACCTGGTTAGTGAGGCCGGTGTTTGGTGTGCTGCCTCACAACTGAGTTATGGGGAGCGGCCTGTGGTTTTGCGCCTCACAACCGGGATTTAGTGGGGCAGCGGCCCGCTGGTGTGCCTAAAAAAAAACCTGAGTTGTGGGCAGCGGCTGTGGTGTGCGCCCCCAAACCCTGAGAAGTGAGGCAGCGGCGCGGTGTGCTCCCCAAACCTGAGTAAGTGGGCAGGGGCTGTGGTTGCTCCCTCCAACCCTGGTTAGTGAGGCAGCGGCTGCTGGTGGTCTGCCTCAAAACCGGGTTAGTGAGGCCAGCGGGTGTGGTGGTCCCGCCCTCAAAACCTGAAGTTGTGAGGAGCGGCTGCGGGGGTTTGCTCCCTCAAAAACCTGAGTTAGTGAGGAGCGGTTGCTGGTGTGCTCCCTCAAACCTGCATGTTCAGGTTGTGAGGCAGCGGCTGGTGTGCTGCTCACAACTGAGTTTGTGGGGCAGCGGTGCTGGTGTGCTGCCTCAAAACTGCAGTCAGAGTTTAGTGGGGGCAGCGGTTGGGGTTTTGTGTGCCTACAACCTGAGTTAGTGGGCGCGGCTGTGGTGTGCTGCCTCAAACCTGCATTTTCAGTTAGTTGTGAGGCAGCAGTGCTGGTGTGCTGCCTACAACCTGCAGTTAGATTAGTTAGTGGGCGCGGCGGGTGTGCGCCTCAAAACCTGAGTTAGAGGCAGCGGGTGCTGGTGTGCTGCCTCACAACCTGCATGTTCAGAGTTGTTGTGAGGGCGGTGCGGGTGTGCTGCCCTACAACCGAGTTATGGGCAGCGGCTGTGGTGTGGCCTCAAAACCGCGTTCGAGTTATTTTGTGGGGCACGGCTGCTGGTGTGCGCCTCCAACCTGCTTTTCGGTTAGTTAGTGAGGCAGGGGGTGCTGGTGTGCTGCCTCAATGATTTTTAGTGGGCAGGGGGTGTGGTGTGCTGCTCCAACCTGGTTAGTGGGGCAGCGGCTGCGGGGTTGTGCTGCCTACAACCTGCATGTTCAGAGTTGTTAGTGGGCAGCGGCTGCCCTGGTGTGTTTCCCCTCAAAACCCTGATGTTCAGAGTTAGTTGTGAGGCGGGGCCTGCTGGTGTGCTCCCTCACAACCGCATGTTCGGTTAGTTAGTGGGGCGCGGCTGGGGGTTGTGCCCCTCAAACCCTGCATTTTGGGTTAGGAGGCAGCGGCGCGGGTGTGTGCCTCACAACCTGCATGTTCAGAGTTAGTTGTGAGGCAGCGGCTGCTGGGTGCTGCCTCAAAACCTGCTGTTAGAGTTGTTAGTGGGAGCGGTGGGGTGCTGCTCAAACCTGCTTTGTTAGAGTTAGTTAGTCAGTCAGCGGCTGCTGGGTGCTGCCTAAAAACCTGAGTTAGTGAGGCAGGGCTGTGGTGTTGCCTCAAACCTGAGTTGTGAGGCAGCGGCGGGTGGTTGGCCCTAAACCCCCTGAGTTTGAGGCAGCGGTGTGGTGTGCTGCCTCACAACCTAGTTAGTGAGGCAGCGGCTCTGGTTGTGCTCCTCAAAAACCTGGGGTTAGGGGCGCGGCGCTGGTGTGTCCCTAAAACCTGAGTTAGGGGAGGCAGCGGTGCGGGTGTGTCCCTCAAACCCTGAGTTATTTGTGGCAGCGGCGCGGGGCTGCCTACAACCGGTAATTGAGGCAGCGGCTGTGGTGTGCTCCCTCACACCTGATAAGTGAGGAGCGGCTGTGGTGTGCGCCTCCAACCTGAGTTAGTGAGGCAGCGGTGCTGGTGTGTGCCCACAACCTGAGTTGTGAGGCAGGGGGCCCTGCTGGTGTGCTGCCTCAAAAACCTGAGTTGTGAGGCAGGGGCTGGTGTGCTGCCTCCAACGGAAGTGGGGCCAGCGGTCTGGTGTTTTGCCTCAAAACCCTGAGTTAGTGAGGCAGCGGGGGGGCTGGTTGGGGCCTCAAAACCTAGTTGTGAGGCAGCGGGGGTGCTGGTGGCTGCCTCAAAACCTGATTAGTGAGCGGGGGTTTGCTGGTGTGTGCTCACAACCTGAGTTAGTGAGGCGCGGGGCGGGGTGCTGCCTCACAACCTGAGTTAGTCAGTCAGCGGGTGCTGGTGTGCTGCCTCACAACCTGAGTTAGTCAGTCAGCGGGTGCTGGTGTGCTGCCTCACAACCTGAGTTAGTCAGTCAGCGGGTGCTGGTGTGCTGCCTCACAACCTGAGTTAGTAGTCGGGGTGTGGTGTGCTGCTCAAAACCCTGAGGTCAGTCGCGGGTTGGTGTGCTGCCTCCCCCTGAGTTAGTCAGTCAGCGGGTGCTGGTGTGCTGCCTCACAACCTGAGTTAGTCAGTCAGCGGGTGCTGGTGTGCTGCCTCACAACCTGCCTGTCGCAGGTTTCTGCTAGTACAAGTGCTTCTAACAATGTCATATTTCACGGAATTTCTTTTTAATGAAAGAATTATACAAATATTCTAAATTTGCTTACAACATATGAAACAATTGTATTCATAATTTTAGAAGTACTTGTGTTAACTGTTTTGGGGCCTAGTTACTAGGCTGTTAGTGTTCTTATGTGATCACCTAGTTACTAGGCTGTTAGTGTTCTTATGTGATCACCTAGTTACTAGGCTGTTAGTGTTCTTATGTGATCACCTAGTTACTAGGCTGTTAGTGTTCTTATGTGATCACCTAGTTACTAGGCTGTTAGTGTTCTTATGTGATCACCTAGTTACTAGGCTGTTAGTGTTCTTATGTGATCATGAGCTACCATCCACAGGATGGATATGAGGTGCACAATGAATTAACTGCTTCTGCGGTAAAGTGTAATCTTCAGGCTACATTGTTCACTTAACAAGAGAGTGACCACAATATTGCCACAATGGATGACCGAAGTAACGACGCTACAGCAGTAAGTACACTTTAACACTCACTTGTTATATTGAGCTGAATTACCTGTAACTGACCACAAAAATTATGTAACTTTACATTAGCTGAAGAAATGTGAACTACTCAATACAATATATACTGAATAAGGAAGCTTATACAAACAGCACAATAAATCACAATACCATTCCTGACGGTTAGAAGTTGTCAACCATCACCAGCAGACTGAAAATTATGAGGCGAGATAATAGTGTCATGAGTGTAAAGTGATGGAAATGACTGGGACAGTAATGGGAGAAACACATGTTACAATCATGTATGAATTTATTATACTGTTTAAATGCTCGACCAGACAGAAATCTTTCACAACATCAATTAAGGATTTTCCTAATATTTTGTATTTCTACATGTATTAATTACGATTCCTCAGTGCCTGTACTCATTAAAATATATATATATTATTATATATATTATATATATATATATATATATATATTATATATATATAACTAGCCAAGGTCATACGTTTGTGTGGATGACTCTAGGCTAATTTCATTCTACTTCCTGTTTGGTGTACTAGTACAACGAGTAGTATTTTATATTATTGTACCCACCAACAAGTGGTGTTGATCTATAACAATACTGCGGTTAGCCAAGGAGTCGAACCCATGCTGTTTTGGCCTGCCTCATGGTGGGAGAAAACTCATGACGCCTTAATCCACGGGACCACACAATCCTTAAGAGCAGCGCATCTAGAAGAACTCGATGTTGTACTCGCTACTTCTCGTTGTACTAGTACACCAAACAGGGAGTAGAATAAAATGACAGGTATCTTTATTTCGAAACGCTTCGCCTACACAGTAGGCTTCTTTAGTCGAGTAGAGAAAAGTTGATAGAAGAGACTTGAAAACGATGTAATCAGTACATCACCCTTGAAGTTTTGAGGGGTTAAAGCCCCTTTAAATCGGGAAAAGAGTATTGTTCCAAGTCTAAAACCCTATGGATTTGAAGTGACGGGAAATGGAGCCTTATATCCCCCCGGCATTGTTTTTCGCACGCAAAAAGGGGGCCCAAAAAACAGCATGGGTTGGGGAACTCCTTGACTAGTTCAGTGTTGTTATTGATAAATTCCCAACTTTTTCGGGGGGACAATAATATAAAATACTACTCGTTTTTAATAGAAAACCCCAAAACGGGGACTAGAATGAATTTACCCAAATAAAGTCCCCCACCCCAACGTATGTCCTTGGCTAGTCGTTGTGTTTTATTGTTATTTTATATTTTTATAAATATAATATTATTTTATATATATATATAAAATTTTAATTTTATAATATATATAAAATAATTTAATATATTTTATAATATATTTTATTTATATAAGTAGTAAAAAAAAGGGGGCCAGAGCGAGGTATCCGGTTTTAGGGGTGCGGGCCTAGCGAGGACTTCCGGAAAAAGGAAATGCGGCTGAGCGAGGTATCCGGCCCTAGGACCAGGGCGGGGAGGGTAAACTTTTCACCCCAAGGTGTTATTTCCCGGTTTGACCTTGCCCTCGCCCTCGAGACTACCTCCCCCTTCCCCCAACCCAAAACCCCGCCCACGACCCCCCCCCCTTCGCGAAACCCCCCCTTGGGGCCGCGCGCCCGCCCGCGCGCCCCCCCCCCCGCGGGCCCCTTTGCCCACCCCCCCCCCCCGCGCGCCCGCCCCCCCCGCCCCCCCCCCGCCGCGCGCCCCCCCCCCGCGCCCTTTGCGACCCCCGCCCCCGCCCTTTTGCTGCGCCTTCTGCAGGGGTCATTCCCGGGTCGCCCCCGCGCCCCGAAATTTTTTTTTCCTTTTTTTTCGAATTTTTTTTGAATTTATTTTCTTGTGCTCTCCATTCCTCGGATCAATTTTTTAAAGGTTCCCCCTCCACTTCCCCCCATCCCAAATTTTTCCGATATTACCAATTTTTTGGTTTCCCCCCCTATGGGGGTTTCAAAAGCTCCATCTCCTCGGATCAAGTTTTTTGGTTCCCCCCCCTAGGGGTTTTCGAAACCCCGGATCAATTTTTTTTGGGACCCCTCCTTTCCCCCCCCCCACCCCAAAACAATTTTCTAAAAATATCAAAGTCCCCCCTTCCTCGGATCCCTTCCACTTTCACCCCCCACCCCAAAAATTTCCGATATCAAAGTTCCATTTCCCTGGATCCCCCCCCCATTTCCCCCCCCACCTCAATTTTTCTCGATAATAAAGACCCCATTCCTCGGAAAATTTTTTTGGATCCCCCCTATGGGTTTTCGAAATTTCTCATCCCCTTGGATAAAGGGTTTTTTTATTTGGATTGCCCCTCCTTCCACCCCCCCCCCCAAACCCAAAAATTTCTCAAATTACAATTTTTGCATTCCCCCCTATGGGGGTTTTCGAAATTCTCCATCCCCTTGGATCAAATTTTTTAAGGTTTCCCCCTCCCATTTCACCCCCCCCAAAACCCAAAATTTTTCCGATAAAAAAGTTTTGGATTCCCCCCTATGGGGGTTTCGAATTCTTATGATCTCCTGTATCAATTTTTTTTTGGATTCCCCCCTATGGGGTTCCGAAATTCTCCATCCCCTTTGGATAAATTTTTTGGGCCCCCTCTCCTTTCACTCCCCCCAAATTTTCGTAATACCAAGCTCCATCTCCTTGGATCAAGGTTTTTTGGATTCCCCCCTCTGGGGGTAAGCATTCAAATGAATCCCCCTAGGGGGCATGGTGTCTTCTTATACAGGTCAAAACAAGGTGACGTTTTATTCCTCTATTAATGTGTTTCTCGGGGGTTTCAGGGACGTCAGCGTGACCCCCCCCCCCAACAGGCTGAATTGCGACCCTTTTAGTTCATTCAAGTTAATAAGGGGTATAGACCTACTTTCATGGGGAAAAAACATTTTCACTTTTAACCCGGGTTTAATCCAAATTTTTTCACATTTTTTTTTCGTTAATACCCACAACAATCCCCCCCAATTTTTTACAAACAAGTTAGACATTTTTTAAATATTTATCTCAGGTCACCCCCCACGAAGAAAACCTCCTCCCCCCCTCCCAAACCCCCCTCA